GGAATTTCCTAGTCTGTGGGCAATAAAAACACGGCGTCCACTCACCCTCTGCGCTTTCACTGGGAGCTGCAATCCTGAGCTGTTCCTAAACGGCCATCTTGGATCCACCCCCTTTTCTCTTTTCTTTAACGTGAAATGTCCTTCCTCTAACTTTCTCTTCTCCTTCCTAAATTTTTATCATACTTGAAGTAGGAATTGCTTTGTCTCACCTTCTGATTAACTCTCACTTGAAGCTTCAGTTCATACAGATTTCATTTCCAGAAAAAAATTCTATTTTTCTTTCCTTTTTAATAACTGAATCAAATAACAGCTTAATTTTTTATATAAACATTCCACAGCCAGAGTTTGTGTGTAATACGAGCACATTCAAGCTGAAATAAACCTAAGATGGAATTCAGTAAGGGCAACTGATGCCTGAATACCAAAATGCTAATTCTAAATTATAGAAGGTCTTTAACTGGAGACTTTAGGAGAAGGCTAAAACTGTTGCTTAGAGTGCATGAAACCCAATCCTATAATGAGAAATGTGAAGTGTATGTACTTTTAATACCAGTCCATGTACTACAAAGCTTAGGGAATTCAATAGCCTCTGATGTCATTCTCCATGACTTCCTTAGGGATGTGAAATAAGTCTTACCTACTGTGGGTAGGGCACTCAGCTGGCTTTGATTTTCCTCTCTGAGTCAGATCTCATTTGATCTACTGTGGCATGGCCATTCTTGTTTCTTGGCTCTTATTACCAGTTGTAAGTGGTTCTTAGCCTTCCTTAGTGTTAGTGCTGTTTAATCCAGAAATGGCCTTTTAGGGCCTGAAATCTGTCCTTCTATCCTGAGTGTACAGTATCTGCATGCTTCGTGTGAGGATTAAAATTCTAACCCTGGCAGCTGTGTTATCTCTGTGCTGTGTCTGGCAAAGACTTTAAAGCCCATTTGTAGGAAGAATATCTTTTGTTAAGCATCGGCTTTGAAGCCAGGTAGATTTCTAAGTCTAAGTTTTCTATAGAAAGGCGATGACAAACAAAATAACATGCCCTCAGTTTAAAGGTCACTTCCCTGAACCACCTCACCTAGTAATTGTGCCCAAACTAAAGCAAGTTTTTTTGTGTTTTAACACTTTTTTGAAAATGTTCCTTTTTTTCAGAACATTTATATAGTAAGTAACTATTGGAGTTGGGTGATTCATTGATCAATGTATTTCTTCTCCACTCTGGTGTATATTCCAACAGAGCAGAGACTGATTTATTTCACCATTACCTTCCAATCCTCTAGCATTGGCCTAGCTCCCCAAATATTTGTTGAATGGAAGAATACCTCATAAGATTATTTTCCTCCTGAAAAGGAAAATAAGTAAACTGTATACAGCACTATATAAACAAACATACCCAGTCAGCCTCCGTACTTGCAGGTTTTACATTATGGGATTCAACCAACTGTAGATTGGAAACGAGAAAAGAAGAAAACTAAAAAATAACATACAACAATAAAAATAATACAGTCTAACAACTATTTACATAACATTTACATTGTATTAGGTATTATAAGTAATCTAGAGATGTTTTAAAGCTTCAAATGTATATTAATATGCAGGTTATATACACATACTGCACCATTTTACATGAGAACTTGAACATTCATGAATTTTGGCATTCCTGAGGGTTCTGAAACTAATCCCTGATAGATACGACTGTATATGTTGTACGTATCAGTATATGAGTACTACGGTTAGCACATTGTAAATGTTCCATACATTGTGATTGTTTTATTATTATTGCCTGGAATCTGAACTGAAAATGTGCCTCCTTCTCACAGAACATGGACACTTCTTGTGCCGTGTCACAAGAAGTCACTGACTATGCCCCCAAATAAAAGGCTAGATTGATCAGAATGTTTGTGTCTTTCCTATTCAAGCACCTGGCTAGGCCCATTAAGCCTAGAGCCCTACCCCTCAGTGCTTTTCAATCCCCTCATACTCAGTACTCCTGTTACACATTTGGTGACTTAATTTGCAGAATTGCTAAACTCACATTTCCGATCATGTCTTCTAAAACGGACCATCTCTTCCCAGATTAGCCAGAAGGGCTGCAAGGAAGAGCATTGACTAGAAGGCCTACAGCAGCTAGCAAGGTTAACTTCATGGAGCCCCATTGCATCTTTCAAAGTTCCCATTTCACAAAGTTTTGCCTGGGAACTCAGCAGGAACTTTAGCCACAGGAGAGAATTAAAAATAAATGAGTAAATGAAACCTAGATTTATGTTTCAGTCAATTGAGAGAATCTGACATGGTGTGTGCCAGCCCACAGTAGGTATTCAGTAAGTAACTGTTGAATAAATTTGGTAGTAGAAAAAATTATCTCAGTGGCTCTTGGCATTCATTGCCTCTTGTATGAAGAGAGACTACTATACATCCCTCTCCTGTCTTTGAGAAGGGCTTTAAAACTCTATGATTCTAGTAAAATCAAGAGTATATTCACAACCAAGACGAGTTTTTACAAGGCTTTGACTCCACACAGTAAAAGAAAGAAAAAATGTTGAAGCTCCCCGAATTACTGGATGGGAAACATTGGCTTCTTTAATACAGGAATGCAGACTGGCTTCGCGGTTCTAGAAGAAATGCATAACTCTTCCTCTCCAGGCTCTTGGCTGGAGACACCCTGTGGATAAGTTAGGGGAGAAGTAAGAGAGAGCGGGCAATTCCAGTTTGTTCACATAAGGAAAAGATAATGAAGAATCAGGCTGTAAAAGCCAGCTATTAGGAGAGGAAATAAAACTTAAAAATTTGTCATCGTTA